AACCTCACCCATCTGTCTTTGGTAGTTCCTGCCTACACCCGACAAGGTTGAACTCGATTGGTCACATCTTCTCAACTAGAACTCCGAGAATTTGCTCACAAAACTAGTCACTAGTGAGCACATGTTACGATATTTTGAGTTAGAGTTTTGGAGATTTGTTTTTTTACACATTTGAAATCATCAATCAATCATTTATTTATGTGTAGTGTGATGGTATTACAGCACTCCCTGAAATGAATTAATGAAAGTCGCTGTCGAAACCGATGACATAACCAATGAAAGATTAGTTTTCTTTTTTAAAGGTAAGTCGTGACATCCCATGAATATGCAGTCAAATATTCATGAATATGAAAACTGTTTCTATATGAGTACATGCGTAGGTTATGTTCAAAAATATAGACGTGGATAAAAGGTATTGTCAATACTTTGAGTTCAGAAATGCTGGACATAAATATTTGATGATAAATACGGTACACTGGAGTCATTATTCGAATCAATGAATGGGAATGAGGCCGGCGAGGAAGATTGTATTGTGCAAATTTACACTCTGAGTCAATTAAAAACGAAAACATTACATTGAACACTCTATTTGCACACCATCTTTGAGTCGTGACTTCCAACACTCCATCCTTCTTCTTCCATTCTTGTTGTTGCTTCCTTTCCTTCCTGTTGGTACTACTCCATTTACTTTTTGCTTTTGCTCCATTCGCTTTCCGTTTTCCTCTTCTGACCGTGCGAATTCTTCTTTCACGTCCCTTCTTATACTACTCATATCGTTCATATAAGTAGCACACACCACACACTACATATTCGATTTGTCGAATTTGATCAATATCACACATGTGTTAGACAAGCTACTAAAATAAACCTACTTTGACTTATCATTTAAAAACAGTAGTAACAGTTTATATCGATTGCAAGAATGAATGGAGTAATATACGTTAGATTATTTGTATTCTTTGCTGAAGTTGGATAATTTCTAACAATCGAATAGGATACACATGTTTCGACATGTTTAGGACTTGTCAGCTGTATGTGCTCAAATACCTGTATATCTATATTCCACAGTTTTCACTTCAAACGACAGTGCATTAATCGTCAAGCTACTGAATTCAAATGGCCAGTTAAAGAGGGTATGTATTTCATTTGTGTTGATATTTTCTTGTTATTAATAGTAAAAGTTGTAATTGATAAATTACTTTTAGTATTTGTACGACAACAGTGGGAAGGTTGAAACTCTATATAACGATACATATATATATATATATATATATATATATATATATATATATATATATACATATACATATATATATATATACTTCAGTTCTGTCTCATGAATAGGGAAAAACTTCGCTTTCATCCACCATTTTGGCCCTGTACCTAAATAACCAAAGTAAATCTTTTAATAACTTCAAAGCACAATTGTCAAAACTAAATGAGGCATCAAAGTTTCTCGGTTGTATTGTAATCACTAAAGATTTACTGACAAAAAGCCATGAATAGTGGTAAGATTTACATAATGAAAATGGCGCTTTATTCAGCTACAGATGTGTCAACTGTAGCACAGTTGATCATGATTATGACATATTACAACTCCGATCACTATTACTGATTACGATAGACTTAAATGACTTTACAACTCGGAACTTATTTTCATCCTTCTGCCATACTGAGAATTCTAATAAGAACACTCAAATCGCGCTCAAGATCAAAGGTCCTGGGTTAGATTCCCACCATATGGTCGTGGATCCACACTGTTAATGAGTTCTATACTAGGACGAAATGTCGTTCCAGTACTTTCAGCTTTCTAATGATGGTCCAACTGTTGAGGAAGTTAGATCCGCAGAACTCATTTGTAAAAGGTCCTGATTTTGTAATTTATTTGTGAAATTTTTTATTTTTTTATGTTTTCATGCCGGAGACGCTTAATTGACATTCAGCCTACATTTCCCACTTGAAAAATCCTTGACTGTCATTGATTGATGGATTATTTTAGTACGTTATTTTTGTGGCTCTCCCAAGGACGTTTCTATCATGTATAAATAAGCTTGATTTGTGTGCTTAGCAACGTCGAATTTTCTGGGTGCTTATGGAATACACTCTCTACGCCTAATCAAGACTTCTTGATCGAGTTAGCAGGACCTGGGACAATCGGATTAGAATAGCCTATCGTGGTCACTGCATCGTTGATCTTCGTTCCGTTTACCGAGTCTGGTGAACTTGTAATAGTTTCAAGCATATCATTTGACGAGCATATCACAAAAATTGATCTATTTATGATTCTAATTAAATTTGGCCTTTGATAAGCTTGAACTTGTTTTGAAATAATCTTAATGCGTATGCGAATTCAGACAAAATTTCATGAAAGTGCAACTAACTTTCCATGTTTTTTTTCGGTGCAACTGTAGTGAAGGAGAACACAGGTGAGGGCAACCGAATTGTATTCATCTCAAATTACAGAGTTAATTGGTAAAAAAGAAAAACCATATCGTAAATCGTTAATTTGCAAAATATCAATTCATCATATCGAACTGGACTGTTCCTGTTGCAAAACATCAATCCATTGTCTGACATTTCAACACTGTTCATGCGTTTCATACATATCTCATTTTTGTGTTCCCACTCTTCCTTCCTCTTGATCTTCCCCCATCTTGTGCTGCCAGACATTACGTTTTTACTCGTGTCATATACTACTTATAAGTAGCGCGCACCACATAACGATTGAAAAGCAAATCTAATGTAAGCATGTTTACCAAGTATCGAAAACTTTTTTCAATTGTCAAAGCAAAATTTTCATGTATATTTGAAAAAAAGGAAGGTAAATTTACATGATAATAAAATTTGTCTACCTATTAAGACTATTTACTCATTATGATTACTTATCTATCTCATTAACACATTAAACTTTGTTGATTTGCTTAGTATATTTTTCTAGTAGAGATAATATCTTATCAAAAAACAATATTGTTGTCTACTCATATTTGTTGGTTTGATAAATGAAGTTCTGTAAGTCTTCGACATTGATGTTGACCTCATTAGTTATACTGGATACTTCTCTTGGGGATGTTAGATTCCCAAAACTCGCCTGTTAAATGCCTTATTTTGGATTCTACTTTTGCCAGCATGGGCTGATCAGTTGACCTTGAGATTTCAATTCCCATCAGGAAAATCCATGGCTGTGATTGGCTGCTGTGTATTTTAGTGTGCTATTTTCGTAACTGTCCCAAGGACGTTTCTATGATGCATAAATAAACGAAAGTTGTGTGCTTGATTGTATTGTGTGATTGCTGGGTGTTTGTAGAATATACTTTCTACGCTTACAAAGACTTCTGTCTACAGCTTGGGATACAAGGTAGCCTACCTGGACTCTGGTAATTGTCTCGGTCTAGTTTATCGACTAAGATGAACTCGTAATAGCTTCAAGCATACCTAGTGACGAACTTAACAACTTCCTAGCTGAAGATGTTCGGTCATGCATTCACATCAGATAACCGTGAGGTACACCATGTAACGCATCTCCTCGCATCGACTAGCAAGCTTAGTTCACTCTCTTCTCTACATCCCAACCATCCTCCTCATCTCTAACTTCTGGTTTGACTTGAGTTTGGGTATTCTCGATTTGAAAGTTGTTACAGAGAAAAGTGTTGACCAACTCTGAATATTCATGACATCCTTAACGTCATTGGGAATATTTACTATTTCTAATATTATGCTAGTGAGTAAGAAGGCTCATAGTTATTTGGTTTAGCTTTAATAATACTCTAAAGCTTGTTGATTAGTCAGAATTTTCATCAGAATAATATGAATTCTATGAACAAGTACCAAATCACATCATCTACACTTGAGTCTGTGTATATTTAATTTGGTGAAGCCTTTCAAATAACCTCATTTATAGACAGTGTCGTTCGAACAATCTAGTTTTGTCTACTATATCTTTGTATTAGCGTTTAATATGTTTGTATGACCTTGTGTAGCTTAATCACGTGTTACATCCCACATAGTTATTTCTTCCACTAACTTAAATACATCACAATGACTCATTCGTTTGCCCACTAATTCGTCACCTCACATTTCGTTTATATATCTGTTCATAATAGCTACATGTGCTTGTGGCTTTGTCATAGATACTGTACGATAATAAACTGTAGGCAGCGATTCATTTTGTCGTCTGAAATTTATATACACCGTTGGGAACTGTCTAATAACAACTATCAGGATGAGTAGTAATATGTGAAGTATGGGAATTATCTGCAATATAATTCGTTTAAGTCCAACATGCATCGCTGAATCACTTTTTCTTATTTCCTGACATTATACCTTCTTCATTTATTCATTTTGACGTTTCACACTAAACTACTTGTCAAGTTGAACCCTTTCTATAGGTCATACGAAGCTGAAAAGCCAAGAATTGATTACTTATTAATAAGAATACTGTTCAGTCTAAAAAATCGTGTAACAGACATTTAAATTGAACTTTTCAATAGTTATCCCGATCAGCCGATGGAATCCCACCAATAAAAATAACACTGTCCCCCCAAAGTTTCATTTCAGAAGGACTTAGAGTGATAGCGAATTCCCCTCTTAACCTATAGTCCTTGATTAACAAAATTGATTTGAACCTAGTGGAATAATGAAGCTCATTCGGAATGTTTAGGACTCTATAAAAGTAAATTAATTTAGTTTGACGAAAAGTTCAGCAATATCAAATAAAAAACGAATCGTATGAATAACGAATCTTTTTCAAACATTTCAAAATTAAAATAATAACTTTAAAATAAATCAGTAGATAAAATAAACAAGAATAAAAATGCATCAAATCACATTGAAACTTTTTGTGCGTATATTGATTTACAGAAAATAATTTTTTTTCCTATTTTTATTCATATCACATCATTCTTATTTAATTTATAATATTAACATAGTTTGATATATACATATATAAATACAGTAATCTGTTAGACTTAGCCACAATCTACTTCAAATCGTTTCATATTGATTTTTCCTACGATGATATCGGTACAATAGATTGAATCAAGTTAGTTCTTTTACGACTATCCAATGAATTTAAACTGGAATTATTATTCGTCACATTAGATGATATATCTACAGAAAAATAAGGACTAATATAATCTTCCATAGTAGTTAATTTTGTATTTAAAACTGTTGTTGATGTCGTGGTTGTCGGAGTAAAAAAGTAACCTTGACTAACCGCTGGATAAGGAAATGTATCTTTAGAGTGGATAAACATATTTAACTGATTAAATGAATGATTTAAATGAGGTGAATTATTAGTTGTTTGATGATTGAATTCTTTTAGTAATTGTAAATTCTGAATAAATTGTGTACTATGACTATTCGTTAAATAGGATGGTAGATGAAATGTATTATTATCTGTAGTCATTATATATGTGGATAATTTTTGTTGAGAATTTAATTGAATTGGTAAGTTTGAATGAAAATAATTTAATGAATTATGATAATATTTATTATCATTGGATTGATATGTTGTTCTGTCAAGATTATAATCTAAAATCAATAAGGGAAAAACAGGAATCATAATCAGTTTTATAACGCACTGACAAAAATTTGTTAGAAAACTTGTAGATATTATCATTTAGATTAATTCCAGGTGAAGTTTTAAAGCTTTTTCATCCCAGTATTGGATTTATGAATACAAATTAGGGGTTGACTTCAAGACTCTTCTTCCATCTAACCTTCAGAGCATTCAGATGATATCTAGGGACTGCCGGTTCTAAAATCATTTGATTCGCGATATTGGGAAAATACAAATTCCATAATGTTTACAACCCTTTTATTAAAAATAAACACTTTAAAATGTTTTCTATTTTTGATGCTGTTTTGTTCATCACTAGGTATGCTTGAAGCTATTACGAGTTCACCTTAGTCGATAAATGCGAACGAGACAATTACCAGCGTCCAGATAGGCTACCTTGAATCTCAAGCTGTAGACAGAAGTCTTTGTAAGCGTAGAAAGTATATTCTACAAACACCCAGCAATCACACAATACAATCAAGCATACAACTCTCGTTTATTTATACATCATAGAAACGTCCTTGGGACAGTTACGAAAATAGCACACTAATAAAATACACAGTAGCCAATTACAGCCATGGATTTTCCTGATGGGAAATGAAATCTGAAGGTCAACTGATCAGCCCATGCTCGCAAACGTGAAATCCAAAATAAGGCATTTATCAAGCGAGTTTTCGGGATCTACCATCCCCAACAGATGCATTCACTTAAATTAAATATTTTGTTTTGATAATCTGGATAGTGAGTTGTATACTAGATTGGTCTCATCTCTAACTCTTTATTCCTGGAAGTAAAACAAAGGATCATTTCATTGGTAAATAATCGCTCACGGTATGATAACTTACAGGTTATCATTGATCTGCAGAAAGACTCTAAATCATTTGCTAAATAAAAACATTGTAGAAATGAAATTTACAATCTGTATTTCATGCGATGTTTGAGTTAATAACAAAATTTTAAAATAAGCATCAACGAGATAAGTGAGTCCTTTAAACACTAAGTGAGTAGTAATTTCTGAAACATACTGTAAATCAAATATCATTTAGGTGATGTATTGAAATCAGTAATACCAGTCAGCACGAGGAACAACAAACAAAATGCAGAAAAATTTTAGTATACTAATACAATAGTTAGATGGAATACATGTTAAAAGTATATGCACCAAAAGAGTGGACACATGGATACCTCATTAAGATATTGAAGAAGGGAGACCTCAGCAAGTATGAGAACTACAGAGGCATCACTCTTCTCTCAATACAAGGCAAAGTCTTCAACAGGGTAGACGGAATGGAGGACTCAACATTAACAGGCCGGTTTCCGTAAGGATCGATCTATTGCTGACCAAATCGCAACATTATGGATCATTGTGGGACAACCATTTGAGTGGAACTCACCACTCTACATCAACTTCATTGACTACGAGAAAGCATTCGATAGCGTGGAAATGACAATACTATCGAAGCTTATTCGACACTACGGAGTGCATGAGAAGATAGTAAACATTATACGGAATTCGTATGATGGATTGAAGTGTACATGGAGGACTGCTGACAGAATCGATTGAGGTGAGGACCAGTGTCAGGCAAGGTGGTTTTCTCTCACCCTTTCACTTTCTCCTGATGGCTGACTGGATCATGATTGCGTCACTGTTATGCCTGCCTCGACATACTTGAACTATTACGAGTTTAACTAGTCCGAAAAACGGATACGGCGACACGACATGCTACTCAAATCCGATTATTCCAACCCCCATATTTAGTTAAAATAAGAAGACATGATATGAAGTAGAACCTGTATTCTACAAGCATCCAGAAAGTACGAGGTCCGAATCCAGAAGAGAATCGGGATCCCGGACTAAGGATCCGGGACCGGGTCCTGGTCATAAAATGTTACAGATAATGCATATTTATACATTTAGGTCATTTCTACAAACGCAAAACAACTATCAATCAACATCGGAGTCAAAATTTTCAATACAAACGTCAAGACAGTTATGCGGTATGGAGTTCAAACTCAAAAGACAACAAAAGCCCTTATCCACAAGATACCAGTTTTTATAAACAGTTGTCTATACAAGATACTGTAGATCCGTTGGCCATTCAACATGATCATTAGCCTATTGTGAAAGAGATCATGCTAGATTGTAGATGAGCGAAAAAATCGGGACTATATTTCTGGATATGCATAGGATACATATTGCGGAAACCACCCAGCCGCGTAAGGATGCAAGCCCTAAAATGGAATCCTCATAGTCTAAGTAAAAGATGAAGACCAGGAAACACTCTGCCGAAAATTGGAGATAAATGAGAAGAATAAATAGCAATAGGGTAGAACTGGAAAGGGAGGTTCAAGACGGAGTGGCTTGGAGAATGCTGGTCAGCGGTCCATGTTGCATCAGTGGTAACTGTTGTAAGTCATTATGTAAACTGCGTGTAAAGTCAACAACAACTGTCAACAGTCGAAACGAAGATAATGAGCACAAATTATGGCAACTGCTACACGGAGAAAACATCTAATGAAGTCGTAAAAATTAAAGTTTACAGTTATAAATTCTAACAGATTACTGTTACACTGGTAAGTATATTGAATTTTACAGTTTTGCAAGTGTCTGGAAAAGATTCACCTCAATCGAATAAGGAGCTCCATACTTAAGAATGATGTGAAGTAAGATTAACTACTTACAATTATTAAGTAGTATAATTAAACACAAATCATTATTGATTTATTAGGTAAGCTGTGTGGACAGAAAATAACTTGAAGTAAAAGGCCTTCCTCTCTAGTCCTTTATTCCTTTTAATCTGAACAGAAATACAACCAATTAAACTCACACAATGATAGAAAGTTTGTAAGTGGTAGGGTTATTGTTCAAACACATCTCAAAAGGATTATATTTGGTTATACGAATCACCGATTGACAATTCTGTATCTTAAAGTATGGCGTTCATTGCAAGAACTAGAGGTTCTGGATGCAGCTCCTGAAATTTATTATTAGTGAACACTGCTGCATGTACCTACAATAATATGGAAAATATGTCTAGTACTCCTTTGTCTCTGATGGTAATTCCAAATTCATGACGAATACTTATTGCATATACACGTTAATGTAAATAAGAAACGACAGTTTGTTTTACAAATGCAGCAATGAACAGCGTTATATTTTTATCAGGACAAATTATGTTGATGAGTTATAATTATTATATTTTACACTGCTATCTGATTTTGGCTAGACAACCATTGGAAACTAGGAATCATTAGACTGCCATCTTACCCTGTTGTCTATATTCGAGATATAGTTGCTGGAGTTCTGGTAAGTAGCAATGACAAGCAAAGTTCAACCAGGTCGTGTGTGAAGCATTTATCTACGAATAGCAATGAAAAATACCTTCACAAAGCATTACAAGGAAAGTTCTAACTCAGAACACTCTAGGACAAATGAAAAGTGACTGACTAAAAACAATGAACAGGGAATCAAACGCAGATATCAACTGGAAAGGACAGTGAAGGTTTGAGAACCCCCCTGCTCGGTGGACTATTTTCTATGAGAGGTAACAGGCCTAAGTGGGTGACTTAATAATTAATATTGGCTGAAGGTACGATAAACATCGAGATCATTAACAATAATATAAGCTACTGAATATGAATAAGTAACATAATGCAATAGAACGAACCAGAAAGATGGAACTTATGTGGTAGATTGCGTAGGACAGCTATCATAACCAATTTGTCCTAAATAATGTTATTTTAGAGAGTTAGTTATCTACGAGATAAGGTCACTAACCGCATGCCCAACCTTCTTCCTTTATGCGGCCTTCAGAACGGCGGTAGCCCCAGGAGTGCTTCAGGCGAAGTTTCCTATGTTATGATGAAATATTTCCACAGTCATCTATCTATATAAGATGGAAACTGTGAATAACTAGGATTTACTTCTACAAGCTGTCCAATTAATTAGTGTTCTTAGGAATGAGCGTCTACATATCTTGGTTTCTATTTCTACAAAAGGAAACTATCACTGATTTTATTTTGCCCAACTATCGTGATATGTGATGTTATCAAACAAATAGACTGATCGATTGGATGTATCAGTCATAGTGGTATTTTCTTGTGGACATTTTATTCACAATCATTTCGAACAATTTATATGTTCTGTCTTTAGGTTGCTTTCCTCCTTACCAAGTTTATGTTGTGAATTATATTATATTACTTATAAACAGTAAGTAATATATTTCATTGTAAGTCATTTTTGAGCATGTAGTTGCTTCATTGCCAGAAATGACCGTTCTTAGCACACATGTGAACCTGTAAAATTTAATCCTTTTATTGTCTTAATTACATTCTCTTACAGTTGTTAGTAGATGATATTCATCGACTGCATGTTGATCAAACATTTAGAATGTAGACAGCAGTGGAATCCATGATGCGTGTTTCACCAATATTAAGGATGTGCCTGCATCTCATAGTTGATGTCCACTCTAATACTCGAATCCAGTGTTGTTTGCATCACACATCGTCACATTACGCCTTTAACTACAGAGTCTAGATAGCCAATCACTTTTGCAATAAGTATGAATTTCAATTCACTGTGAAATGGTTTGGATTACCTCGTTGCTCATATTTTAATTGAAATTAGATCAGTCTTGATTGTCATATGGGCATCCAGTACAAATGACTATGATATAACCGTCATAGTACAAGTTTATATAGAATAGATCGATTTCGGCTAGAAGTGAAATCCAGGATGCGCGTTTCGTCCTAAATAATCCAAATCATTTCAAATTAAATATAGTGTGGATAGTTCTCAGTTCAGTCTGTTGGCAGGCACGACATCGATCGGTCGTTACTTGAAAAATATATATTGAAAATAACTTGAAAATAACTGTTGAAAGAAGCAATACTTATGTAATTATACCTTAAAGTTTATAAATGTATTGAATTCCTCACAACTTGAAGTTTGCACAATATCGTGAATTGATCGAAGTTAGACCTTTACACCGTAAGATCCTGGCTCAGATGTTCAAAGACCGAGTGTTCGCTCTCAAGACCGAAGATCCTGGGTTCGAATCCTGCGAGTCGCCGTATTATGCACGAAAACCCAGGTGAGGACATCAACAAAATATTTAAGCGAATATTACAGAGTTGTTAAGCATATTTACTAAACCTTCCTGTGAATCATCATTTGCAAACGAATCCTTATTTGTTTCATATTTCAGTGTTCTTTCATTTAGACTGTTCAGACTTCAGTTCACTTTACGTTACCTACAAATCGCCTTCTGTTCTCATTCTTTCCTTTTCGATCTTTTGCTGTCAGACGTTTGATTTCCATTTGAAATCATATATACTACTTATGTGAACATAAGTAGCGTTCACCACAGCCGGAGTCGTGGATGCACACTGCTGATGACTCCCAGACCAGGGTGAAACGGCTGTTAGTTATTTTCATAACTAATTGTAGTTATGTCATAACTAACCAATCAAATAGTGGTTTAAACGCCCACCAAGTGATCTGATCTGACATGTCTGTAAACTTTCTTTGTTGTAAATAACCTACTGATTGAAGGACGTTATTATCTTATTATATTGATGTGACTCATAACTTTATTCATTTCTATAAGACACGCTATATTGGTCGGTATGTTTACCCGTCTTACTTGATAATTGTAATTTCCTTATTTATTGTACTAATGTAATTGTTTTTCTGTTTAGAAACAGATAAAGTTTAAAGCAAAAGTTGATCTTGTTCTGTCTATAACTTTCCTGTAGAATCTGTGCTCGCCAATACTGCGTTTACCGTTCTAGAATATTACATCTGTAGGACAAATTAAATCCTACAACGGCCGTCCACTGCTTTCAGGTTTCTAACGGTGGTCTAACAATGATGTGACTTGAATTTTGTCCAACACATTGTTAGTAGTATCGTTTTGTAAACACATCTTTCGTTTGAATTCTAAAATATTTTATATATAACTCAATTGTTTTAGTGTAATTTGTTGACTAGGATTTTACAGGTAGTTGGCAAAATTGTATTACAAAAGGTTCACTTACTTGTTATATAAGAAGAAGGTTTAACATGTGAATGATTGGTATAATCTGTATAGATTTGATTTATTGATGTGATACTCTTCTCATTATTACTGTTATTTCTATTCAATGGCATTAAACTAACACAATCATAATGTAACGATTGTTCACCATTCAATTGTACATTGAACTGATTTTGTTTTAATGAATAAACCGCCGTTTCACTTTTATATTCCATAAATTGTTGCAGTGAATTGAAATCATGTAAAGAAGAATTGCCAGTTGTTATTATGGTATTATGACATGGATTCGGCGTTTGTTTACATTTTAACCAATGTATTATTGATGTAGTATGAAATAATCTCATCATTGATAATAATGTTTGATTAGGCAGAAATTTCAATATAAATGGACACCATTTATTAGCAAATATATACAAGACACTTGTAGCTGCTATTAAAAAGCATACAATAGCTAATCCTAAACCAAATAATAAACCAAATTCTATTGCAGTGATTTGTTTGGTTTCATTGTGTAAATAATCATCATGATGATTGATTTGTTGTGAATTTGTTGTTAAATTATCTATGAAAAAAGAAAGAGGAAAATTCAAGCGAAAACATGAGATTTACTGTTAGTGGAACAGATGGAATTGAAGCAAGACTACGTTGCTACGCGCTGATTGGTTAATTTCCTATCCAATCAGCGCCTGATCGATTCTTGGAGAACAAGGTAGAAAATTCTCGTCTTGTTAGCTGCGTGCTGATTGGCTAAATCTAATCCAGTCGATCACGTGAATTTCTATCCAGAAGCTTATCATGTAAATGCTATAAATAGACTAACGTTGTATCTGTTTTTGCCTTCGTCTTCGGCTTCTTATTACCATTTAACCTTTGCTATTTTGGAATATAATCTTTTCCTGTTCAACCGTGTTTTGATTCTTGGGGACTTGTCCAGTGTATTGTGGTCAGATAATACTAAGCAATAGGATTAGCTGGAAATTATTCAAGCAAGCGTTACAGCATTTACAGATGAAGAAGGTAAAGTATACCATTTAGCGATTTTCAGATCGTGCATTGTGTTCTATTCAGTTGGAAAGCATCAAAGATAGGACGAATAATTCATGATACTGAAAAAAAGACTTGAGGATTAAGCTAAAGTTTAGAATTTTTAGTGGTTGGGTTGAATACAAATTAGGGTACGCCAATTTAGTGGCCGGCGATCTGATTCCGGTTTGGACGAATGGTCGCGTATGCCATGAAATAAATCTTTCCTATCATTTCCGTATATTCTACTCTTAGGATAATCATCCAATATCCTAAGAGAATTATTAGTCAAATCCTATTGGTCGATTTCTATTGGTCAAAATTATGGTCGTTTTAACTGTCAAAGTCAAATACTTCAATGTTGTATCTTATTGGTCTTCCGGACTGTCAATGATGTCATTCAAAGGTTCTTTCTTATTGGCTGTCCAGACTATCAATGTCACTTCAAATGTTACTTCCTATTGGTCATCTTAACTGTCAATGCCACAGAATTCGATGCTGTTTCCTATTCGACGAAAATGTATAAATAGGCATTATCTGTAACATTTTATGACCACGACCAGGACCAGGGCTCGGTCCCGGATCCTTAGTCCAGGATACTGATTCTCTGCTGGACTCGGACCTCGTACTTTCCGGATGCTTGTAGAATACATGTTCTACTTCATATCATGTCTTCTTATTTTAACTAAATACGGGAGTTGGGATAATCGGATTTGAGTAGCATGTCGTGTCACCGGATCCTCGCTCTCGTTTTCTGACTAGGTAAACTCGTAATAGTTCAAATATATCAAGTTGACGTGTTTACGTGTAGGCGTAACATATACTTAGGCGAACCTCGTTTGTTCGACGGCGGTAATAAGAAGCCAAATACGTATTTAGTTGGATGAGTTTATTTCAGTCAATCGTTCATGTAGACAGACACAAGATTAAAAAGCGTACTAACAAAGCGAAGTGACGTGGAGAAGGTGAGTGAGCCAACTCCATGAGATAAGACATGACTAAGTATTTATAGTCAGAAATAATAGACTAGACATATAGTGAGCGAAGTAGGCTTTGCAAACACATACTCGAATAAAAACAACCAAGATACAAGTGAATAATTGGCTTGGTCGAAAGACGTGTGAATAACTTAAGGAGAATAGTGGGTTTAGTTAACCTGTTCAAAAGCTGGGAAAAGCCCTATGGGCCCAACACATTTGCACACACACTACAGATTGCTAAACACTACTTTTTCCAATTTTACTTATATTCACTGTTAACTAATAATTCTGTGAAGAGTTTTGTAGATCAAAGTTAACATAGAAGAAGATAAGAATCACGATACAATGAATAGCATTTATAATCCTTCCAGGATAAATATATCGCCAAACTTGAATACATTAAGCCAAATCAATAGATGTGACATGTGAAAACAGTTCTTTTGAATGTGTAACTTAATAATGCCTTAGAAAAGGAGACTTTAACAAAATAAGTTACATTTTATTTGCTTTAGGAAATCAAGATGAACAAACTTGAAAGAATGTACATACTACTGATACACTTGAATTCATTTTTTTTCTGGGAATTTCTCTCTCTAACTCTGTCTCTTTCTCTTCAATTCTAGATAATATCATTTAGTATTTCGAGATAAATATTGGTACATGTTACGCATGCACGTAACACGTCATTTTATATGCTTCAGCTATTACGAGTTCACCTTAGTCAGTTAGCGAGAGCGAGGATCGAGGATCCAGCGACATGACAGGCTATTCTAATCCGATTGTCCTAACTCCCCATTGAGTCAAAGAAGAAGACTTGATATGAAGTAGAACATGTATTCTACAAGCATCCAGAAAGTACAGAGTCCGAATCCAGAAGAGAATCAGGTTCTCGGACTAGGGATCCCTGTCCGGTTCATAAAACATTACAGATAATGCATATTTATACATTTAGGTCGAATAGGAAACAGTATCGAAGTCTGTGACATTGATAGTCAGGACGACAAATAAGCAACAACATTGAAGTACGTGACATCGATGTAAAAGTAATTCTCGTAGGATATTTGATGAATATCCTAATAGTACATGATAATTTTTATGCACTGTTAATTGACAAATCTTATTTCTTTCGGTTGTAATTCCTTAAAGATTAAGATTAAGGTTAAGATGACATGTAGTGTAGATCAGAAAGCCCCGAACAGATATTGCATTTTAGTATGGAGCTTCCGAAGAGTGTACATCTAAAACCACTATATATACACGACAGAAGCTAAGACATTTACACATCTAGACAAAATTTTAATCATTAGAACTACTGCTTATTATTATTATTATCATTTTCACACAAAGTAGCCTGCTTAATACTTCTTGGTTTCCAGTGATGTCTTTTACTTTGTTAACTAAATATGATATTTTGAATCGACACAAAGTTCAACTAATAAAACACGCAACAATTTTATAAACACAAAGTAACAATCAATAGTTAACTAGTTTTATGCACTGCTCACCTAGACAAATATCATAACAAGATAAATGTTCAATATTTTCACCGTAACATTTCCTTCCACCTCCATGTGGTTCCGGAGCATTACACCATCTTGTACGTTGACCAAATAATTGACGACATTGCATGGAACATATTAATTTATCAGTGTATTTGGAAATTTTACTGTGATTTGATAATTGTGATAGGGAAGTGTTAGACTGATGTATTACACAATCATTTGGACAATTTGACCATGAAGACCAAGATGACCAGTGACCATCAGCTAAAAGAGAAGAGAAGTAAAATAATGCCGAGGAAAAAATGCAGAGCAGATTCTGTTTGGAGTGTCATGAAATATAATTAGTTTATCGCACGCAAGTTTTGTAAGATTGACGGATTAAGGCTAATAATGAGATCCAGTATACATGTGAATCGCTACACTGGAAGATCCATTCAGTAGATAAATCTCAATTAAGACGTAATGTTCGTTCCGTATTCCACTGTTTACTAAAATCAGATTTACAGTTGATTGATTACTGGATATTCACCATTGTCGTATGTATAAAGTCCTTTTTAGTGCTTAAATTTGTAAAATTCTTTTGGCACTAGGAAGGTATTATGCAAGTTATCAGTTGATATGCTTGAAACTGTTACGAGTTTTTTTTAGGATATTCACCAAATATCCTACAAAGAATCATTTTGTCAGTGTGAATTCTATTGATCGATTCCGATTGGTCAATATTATGATTGTCCTAACTATCAATGTCACTTTAAATGTTTTTTCCTGTTGGTCGCCTTAACTGTCAGTGTCACAGACTTCGATGTTGTTTCCTATTCGACCTAAATGTATAAATACACATTATCTGTAACGTTTTATGACGCAGAACGGGACCCGGATCCCTAGTCCGGGAACCTAATTCTCTTATGGACTCGGACTTTGTACTTTCTGGACGCTTGTAGAATACATGTTCTACTTCATATCAAGTATTTTTCTTTCACTCAACGGGGGTTAGGACAATTGGATTAGAGTAGCCTGTCTTGTTGCCGGATCCTCGTTCCTCGCTCTCCTTTTCCGACTAAGGTAAACTCGTAATACTTCAAGCATATCAAATTGACATGTTTACGTGCATTCGTAACAGAGTTCATGTTAGGGGGGTTCGATCCCCAGAACTCACTTGATTAATGCCTTATCTTGGATTTCACGTTTGCCAGCATGGGCTGATCACTTGACCTTGAGATTTCATTTCCCACTAGGAAAATTCATTGCTGTGATTGGCTGCTGTGTTTTTTAGTGTGCTATTTTTGTGACTGTCCCAAGGATGTTTCTATGATGTATAAATAAACGAGAGTTGTGTGCTTGATTGTATTGTGATTTCTGGGTGTTTGTAGAATACACTTTCTACACTTATCAAGTCTTCTGTTTTGCAGTTTAGGGTTCAAGGTAACCTAACTGGACGCTGGTAATTGTCTCGTTCGCTTTTATCGACTAAGGTGAACTCGTAATAGCTTCAAGCGTACCTACTGACGAACCTATAAGTTCACCTTAGTCGGTAAACGAGAGCGAAGACAAATGATCCAATGACGCGATAGGCTACTCTAATCCGAGCGTCCCAAGGCCTCACTAAGTAGAGGGAGTTGACTTGGTTAGGCGCAGAAAGTGTATTCTACAAGCAGCCATAAATTTAGGTTTTCAAGTACACAAATGGAGCTTATTTATGCATGATAGAAACGTCCTTGGAAGAGCCACAAAAATAGCGTACTCAAATGATACATCAACCAATGACATTCAAGGATTTGCCGAGTGGGGGAAATGAAATCACTAGGCCAGCTGAGCAGCCTATGCGCGAAAACATAAAAATTGGAATCAGAACCTTTTCCTGTGTATTTTTCAAAAGCTAGATGAAAGAAAATGGATGAAAGAATCTAGATCCACCTGTTACTGTTGTTCAATTTTATTTGTTTGATTAGTTAGTAATTAGGTAAATGTTAATTTTATCTAGACAAACATTAAAGATACTAATGTATACATATTTATATAGTTAAACTATACTATAGACTTATTGTAAAACCGCATCAGTGAATAATTCACGTGAAGAATTTCAGGCATCCTAGCTAGAAGCTTTGAACAATGCAATTCGACAGTGCCGAGAGTGAGACAGGTGAAACTGATGCTAATAAATGATAATTATGCCTTATTTCAGATTGATGAAAATGTAATGTAAACCATTGAACGTCAACCTTGTAGTTTGTCATTAATAGTGTATTCAATGAAGCTGTAAGATCAGACGGGATAAGTGATTTATTTAAAGGAGACACAGTTGACCAGCAAAATGTATACATCTTATTTTTAGAGTTTCATTTACAAAACAAGTGATTATCGACTGTCTTATTCTGTAGTTGACACTCTACATCATATTACTCATAAGACAAGGTTGTGAGTAATACCCACCATAATAGAGTTTCACAGAAGTCATGGTTTCAATCACAAGTGGGGGATTGAATACGAACCTCTAAGGTTTCACATACTAAAGAGAAAATACAGCTCAATTCTCTCGAGTGCTCAGTTATCGTTTGATTGAAATGATTTTCTAATGTAAACTTTGTATTCGAAGTGAACAATCCTCACAAATCTTTTCTATTAAGTGCCTTACTAATACGCTCTAAACATTGAAAGAGGTTATAACTTAAGACATAAACGGTGATAAATACTCAAACCGTGAACAACGTCGTTTTTGTAAATTAAAAAACTAACTGTGTATTGTAAGTTGAGCATTCGATGAAATACGTCGTCCAGCTTGATTTTCAACTACACACGTGTAAATGCCTTCATCATTCAAATGTGTATGATGTATAATTAAACGACTAATCAATCCAGAATAGTTAATATTTAAATCATGATTAATAATTTGATAATTAGGCACATCATGATTTGTTTGTTTCAAAGATTTCGACATTGAATCTTGTGAATGATTAAATTCAAGTTTACGTCCATTCTTCATCCAATAGACCTAGATTTGAAGAGAAAATTTTGATTTGTTCAAAATAATTTCTTTTCAAAGTTATGAAGTGAAAATTTGAATAAAAGAACTGTGGTGCGAGAAGTAGTTAGTGTATAGTGAAAAACGAATAATTAGTGAATAATAATTACACTACTTACTAAAATCAAGTAGTTTACGATGTCATGAAAACTAAATTCACAGACGTTTTGAAAATAGTTCTACTGATAACGGTATGTTGAAGAAACTTGTACAACCAGTAGTGCGAGAAGTGGTCAACTCCAAAATGAAAAACGAATAATTAGTAAATAATAATTACACTACTTACTATAATTGAGTAGTTTAATACAACCTGAAAACTGAATGTATAGTTATTTTGAAAATAGTTCTACCGATAACGCCATGTCGAAGAAACTTGTATAAAATGATATAAAATCTCATGACCGTAAACATGTTTATGATTAGTTGTCTCAAGTAGCTTTCTCGGTCATCATTTATCTTTATATACGTGTTGTCTTATTCAGCTGATTCCTGACCATTTGGATGGAAATCATCCATCTAAGCTGTGAGAATCTTCAACAGTTCAATATTTTTGTATGATCGTTATTGACTTACAGTTTCGAATAAATCTTTCACTGTTTTTGTCAATGTAAAATAAAATTCCGCAAAGATTGTAATATCATCAATTAAAATGAAGCTAAAATTACGCTTTAAATTACCAATAGTGATTAAAGTCTAAAATTCAAATTATTCACTATAAGTCGATCGATAGGAAGAAATGTTATGTTCCTATTTCCAGTAAGTTTGTGATAACTTCGTACGGATTATGATATTAATCTGAATTTGCATTACGGAGTTGTGAAGATTGGTAAATTACACATTTTTGAAACCATGAATCGATCAATGTTAGACCACCATTAGAAACCTGGGAGCATTGTGTTCACTAGTGACTAGCTTCGTGAGGAATCTTCTCCCAGTTCTAGTGGAAAGACGTGACCAGTGAAGTTCAGCCTGTTCGGGTGTAAACAGTAACTACTGAAGACTGTAGATGAGGTTGCGCAACTCTGTGAATTGATCAAGTTAGACATTAACACCGTTAGATACCGGCTCAGCGGTCTAGAGGTTAGGCATTCGCACACAAGACCGAAGGTCCTATGTTCGAATCCTGATGTGCGTAGGAGTCGTGGATGCGTACTGCCGATGAGTAGTGCCATACCAGTGCTTCCAGGTCTCTAATGGTGGTCTAACATTGATCGATTCATGGTTTCGAAAACGTGTAATCTGAATTTATTACGAAGACGATCATTAAATTTCTATCAAGGTCCTTAATAGAGTTAGTGTACCTGACAAGGTTCTTTCTAACGTCAATGTACGAAAGGAGCAAGCGTATGTGTGCTTGTGCGTGTGTGTGTGTGGGTGGACCAGTATTCCAATATAACATCAAGCATTATTCTTGCAGGATACACTAACTACAAATTATTTAAGCAGGATGATTTAAAGTACCTTTGGTATTGGTCTCCCATCTGGTGGTTCACATGTGAATTCTACCGTCCAACCAAGTGGTATTCTTGTTGACTCGGGATGTTTTATGAATCGTTTATTTAAATCTAAAATAAAATTGAGTAGAAAATACAACTGAATTAATACTTGCGCATTTAATTATTTATTTTAATGTGATCAATGTTCAGTTGAAAATATATTTAATAAACAAAAATTGGGGTGAATTTTTTTTCATCTACGTAGTGTTAGGATATTCATCCAATATCCTAAGATAACTGTAAGTTTGATTCTATTGGTCAGTTCCTATTGGTCGTCCAAACTATCAATGTCACAGACTTCAATGTCGTTTCCTATTCGATCTAACTGCATAAATAGGCATAAATAACCGGACCGGGATCCTTATTCCTGGATCCTGATTCTCTTGTGGACTCGGACCTCGTACTTCCTGAATGCTTGTAGAATACATGTTCTACTCCATATCAAGTATTTTTCTTTTACTCAATCCGGGGGGAGGGCTTGTGACACACGGATTAGGGAAGCATGTTGTGTCGCCGGATTCTTGATCCTCTCCCTCGTTTTCCGATTAAGGTGAACTAGTAATAGTTCAAGCATATCAAATGACGTGTTTACATGAATGCTTAACACGTAGTATTTCGTCATCATGCCTTCCTTATGTTCATCAATGAGTCTTAAAGTATAGCTTTAAGAAGTTGAAGAAATCAGTAAGATGTTTTGGGAAACCTAGGTTTTTGACTTTAAATGGATTTGTTACACTTGGCACGCACAGTGTTTTAGCGACCGACCCCTCCTGTACGATTTGAAACCATGTCATCCAGCTTCATGTTACAAGACGTCACCATTGACTTTTTTCAAGTCAGCAATTAACTTTCTGCAAAAACATGATATATCGATTGTTCATTAAACGTAAATCAATATTTTTTTGATCGATTCCTTGTTATTGGTCAAATGCTACTGACCAATGGCCATTGTGTCCATTAGTATAATTGACCTCTCAATCCTAGAGAAGATCATTCATGTACTGGATAGTTTAGCGCTAACGTTTCAAAATGTGAGACTAACTGATAAGAGTTTAAATCTGTTACGCATGCATGTAAACACGTCAACTTGATATGCTTGAACTATTACGAGTTTACCTTAATCGGAATACTAGCGCGAGGATCGAGGATCCGGCGACACGACATGCTACTCATTCCGATTATCCCAACCCTATTGAATAAAAGAGAAGGCTTGATATGAAGTAGAACAAGTATTCTACAAGCCTTCAGAAAGTACGAGGTCCGAGTCCACAAGCGAATCAGGATCCCGGACTAGGGATCCGGTTCCGGGTCATAAAACGTTACACATTATGCGTATTTATACATTTAGGTCGAATAGGAAACATCATCGAGGTCTTTAAGATTGAAAGTTAAGATGACCAATAAGAAGCAACATTGGAGCACGTGATCTTGATATCTAGGTCGATCATAAAATTGACCAATAGAAATTAACCTATAATTCTTTTAGGATATTGGATGCATATCCCAACAAAATCCTTCTGAGAGTATCGATTCTCACAAAGATTCTATGCATTCCTATCAGCTACTAGTATCCATTTGTAAGTAGTATGCAATAACTATGATCGATGAATCACTTAGTCATGTTTTCATTCGATTCATAAACAGAACAAAATAAGTATACATAAATAATTATTTCAAGCATTGATGTAAATTTTTCTCTTAAAATAACATCCCATACATCTCCTTTTCTTTTTCTGTAGAATCAAATTAATTTTTTCTAATGAAAAGCTCATTCATTTAGGGTTATCATTTTAAGTTTTCTAAGTTTTATAATGTCACTTCATTTACAAGTGCTTATTTTTCGTATATTTTTAAAATAGTTAATTAATTATTGCTGATTACTATTATTGATAATGTAAGAACGCCGACTGTATATATATGTATATATGTACATTAATGTTATTCAGTAGTATATAGAATATTCTTTAAAAAAACATTGCAATTTTTCATTTGTAACTTTTAATAGTCTTCAAATAAAAGGTTATGAATAATCACAAGAATAATATATCTTATGTGATATAAGTAATAGTCATTAAAATATCATAAAATAAGTTAAGATAGAAACTGAATGATAAAACTTATTTTCACATCTATCAGTTTTTTTGCGTGCTTGTCAGAAATAGCAGCTGCCTGAAATATACTTTAGTGACTGTGTTAAATTCAAAGTAGGGTTCATCACTTTAATTGGTGGCCAATGATCTGACTTCAAACTACCATGAATGATCAAGTATGCGATGAAATAAATAATTTCGGGCAGAGTTTTAGAGGTTTGTGTTTTTACACATATTTACACACATATTTACTAATGACTGACTGATGATTTCATCATGTAAAAACACTGATCTCCATAACTCTAATTGAAAAGATCGTACAACGTGCTCACTAGTGACTAGCTTCGTAAGAAAATTCTCGGAATTCTAGTGATAGGACGTGACCAGTGGAGTTCAACCCTATCGGGTGTAGTCAGTAACTACCAAAGAGAAATGGGTGAGGTCGCGCAAAATCCGTAGATCAATCACAGTTAGACATTAACACCGTTGGATGCCGGCCCAGTGGTGGGATGGTTAGGCGTTCACGCACAATACCGAAGATCCCGGGTTGGAATCCTGCGAGTTGCAGGAGTCGTGGATGAGCACTGCTGATGATTAGTACCATACCAGGACTTGACGGCCGTCCAGTGCTTCCATGTTTCTAATGGTGGTCTAACAGTAATTAATTGATGACCTCAAATGTGTAGAAATAAATAAGCCCCTCAATTTTCGTATATCATACTTAGGTGAACGTCGTTTGTGTGACGGCGGTAATAAGAAGCCGAATACAGACTCAATTAGATGCGCTTATTTTCAAGCAACTGTCCATGCAGGCAGATATGAAAATGAAATGCTTACAAGCTAGGCGAGGCGAAATGGAAAAGGCGAGTGAGCCAATTCCATGCGATAAGGCATGACTATGTATTTTTAGTCAGCAATAATAGGCTAGGCATATAATGAACTAAGTGTGCACACTTACATTTAAATAGAAACAATCAAGATATGAGCGAATAATTCTCAAGGTCAAAAGGTATGTGAGTGACTGCAGAGACGAATGGATTAGTTAATTTGTGTCAAGGTTGAGACAAGCCCTATGAGCTCAACGCGTTTGCACACACTACAAGACAATGTATTTTAGAATATAACTAGCTTTGCTGGATGGATGGATATTCAATCATATGATATGAGAATGCATTACGAAGTTAGTCAAGTTTAGCGATGGTGAAATAAATAACCCTGATACTTTGTTAAATCAAAGACATAAGTGACTAGTTAGTTAGTTGATGATACAGAACTCCATAGTCATCAGTCTCAACAACTCCTTATAATTGCCATGAACTAGCGAATAATTAAAGATATTATTCCAAGAGTTCTAGCATTATATTGATTAGTGGGATTCAACTAAGTTTGGTGTGAGAGATTTGTTACCGATCGCAATGGATTATGGTGACTCATTATTACAAACTGAATGAAGTTAAGAATGTAAACGTTGAAATGTCAACTCAGTAATCTGAAGATTAATCACAAACCATGGAGTCTGAATATCGTAGGTTCTTTTTTTTATGAGGTTCTGGTTATACATTTATGAATAACACAAATTCGACCGAGTAAGAAAACTATGTAACTAGTTTTCATAAACCTTACCCACTAAAGACCATGGGTGAGGTTGCGTAGTACGTTGGATTGATTGAATCTGAACGCAAACACTGTTGGATTCCAGCTCAGTGATCTTGAGGTTAAGTGTTAGCGCATGGGTGAGCGCCGTGGATGCGGAGCGCTGATGAGTGTCACACTTGGGCTTGATGGCTTTACAGTGCTTCCATGTTTCTAATGGTTATCTAACAATCTGAAATTATTGGTCTGAAGGCATTATGTTTATCATAGGATTTTACGAACCTGGTTTGAATCTTTCATGAAATTTTAGATGAGTATTATTGTTTGTCTCTGATTTGTAACAAAACGGTTCTTCAATTATACAAGATTTTCAATGAGGTCACGGTTGACACACAGTTTCTTGAAGTGTAAACTAAACTCAAACAAATGTATTCATCAGTATATCTTGGATGGAGTAAGAATTGGGATCCGGGATAAACATTTCTTTTTGTTTAGGACTTGTCAGCTGGATGCACCAGCTGAGAACATATCAAGACTTGAAATCAGTGCTTATTTGGTTCAAACGCCGAACTTGTTATCCACTGAGCTACCGAGTGTAGCTAGATGCGAATTCGTCTAACTGGTATGACGGTATTATGAAGGGTGAGTAATTTCACATTATTGATACTCGTTCATTATTTACTACATCCCGTTCCCAGTTTTGACTAACGAACTAAACTAAGCTAAATAACTATCGATAACCTGGGACTATGAAACTACTAGTTTGTCTTGGTCTGAAGCTCATCAACCCTACACATACGCAAACAACACCACAAGACATCAAACACATGACCTTCAGTCCCACACATGAACTCTCAACCTATTAACCACTGACCTGAAATTCAATGGAGTTCTCAAGAGAATCTACGACCAACTGAGTTCACTCATATTGAGTGTGAAACAGTTACTCCTCACATTAACTGGAACATGGTTTCATGTCACTGTGGATTGACTAACGTTTCAAATGTACATAATTATATTCCATTTGAGTGGTATAAAGATTGAATGTTCTGTTGTGCGATCGAATGTCCAAAGTTCGATGTGGTCAGTGGTAAGATTGTGGATGTATATTGGTGATACTACGAAGAAACAGATGTCCAACACTTCTTGGTTTTCAATAATCGCCTAGTTAAGATTAATTCATATTTTAAAGTTGTGAAAATTCGCCATTTTCTACAAACCTTTCATACTAATATACTAATAATTCAATTTGATTCATGCATACAATCAAAATTTTAATCATGAAGTTTATTAAAAGAAGGATGATGTAAGTATTTGTTGCCATAGGCATTTTATTTCTCACCATAACAACCGTTATATTCATATGTGCACACACAGACACACCCA